ACACGTTTTGACAAATAATGATTAATATATGAGGTAAATATTTTTATTGAAAATGCTTTGTTTAATTAGGCCTTTCCCCTATTATGAATGGATGAATATTATTTATTGCCAGAATGAAGGAGAGTTCAGAAACAATTTTAATCCTATATTGGCTTTTATATATGTAAGCACTGAAAACTATTTTTCACATAAATAAATAGACGGGAATGGAGCGTTTCTTGAACTCCTTCCACGTATGTGCCAAATACCAGATGGTGGTCTATCACAACTACTTTTAATGATTAACAGACAATTAAAATAGATTTTTCTTTAATTTTCTTGATAGCAGAGAATTGAAAATCTCTTGATTTGTGAAAGTTATTTGTTACCCTTCCATTAGGGTCTTATACATTTTTAATTCCTAGGAATTAAGCAAAAATCCTTTATCAAGACAATATCAAATAACTACTACTCTTCCTTAAACTCTTTCAGTTCTAGGCACTTTCCTTACACCGATATTCTCAGAAAGTGTTGGGAATATGGAAAAATTATTACTTTCAAAGCACGGTGCCAGCATCATTATTATTTGTCATAAGCTGCTTTTATTGTGTGCTTTATACATATTTTTATCAAAATCTTGGGCCTACATATTTAGCTTATCAATATGTGGATACCGTGTGCTCTATAACATGGTTAGCTGAGGTGGGTCTCATTGTCCAAACAAAAAGCAAATGTATTGACATGAGTCTCCATGACCACCATTTCACTTCCTAATTCCTCCAGACTATGGCTATGTGCTTTGTACGGAAGATGAGAAACAAGAGTTGAGCTTAGATTGTTTTGATGATCCTTCTGTCCCAGATTGTCTTTGAATCATTTTGGTGAAATTTTAGATTTCACATATGTCAACTACTTCAAGAAATAAAGTATCGAAACTCCAAAATCATTAAGTGAATACACACACAAAGCCTCCACCAAGGTACACTATCCCTAGGTCCCCTCTCCTATTCCTCCCAGCCTGAACCACTGATTCTATATTTCTTTTTTTTTTTTTGCTGGGAAAGATTCACCCTGAGCTAACACCTGTTGCCGATCTTCCTCTCTCTTTTTTTTCCCCTCCTGAAAGCCCCAGTACATAGTTGTAAGTCCTTCTAGTTCTTCTATGTGAGCCGCCACCACAGCATGGCTAATGACAGACAAGTGGTGTAGTTCTGCACCTGGGAACCGAACCCAGGCCACCAAAGCGGAGCATGCCGAACTTTAAACAGTAGGCCATCAGGGCTGGCTCCCATTTGCTCTTTGACTCAGGGAAGTCTGACATCAACAGTTTCATTTCCATATCCTGCAGATAGAGAAGGAGATTTCTAATGGGATATTCATGACAGCAATATTCCAAGGAACAAAAAATTTGGAATTCATAGGTTTTCTTTATGGAAATTTATCTAGAGTTTAGTGCTTTTATTGTTTGTATTTTTAATTTGTTTACTCAACAAATGTCTATTGAATCACCTGTGTACAAAGACTGAGGATATAGCAGTAAACAACTGAACAAGATAAGACACAGTGCCTGCCCTCAGGTAGATTATACTATAGTGGGGAGTCAGATGTTAAAGAGCCAATTGCAAAATTAATAATTCAGATGCTCAATTATGAGAATGTCTATGAATAATTGATAAGGTGCTATGAGAGAACATAAAAGGGGATTGATCTTTCATAAAGATAAGAAAAAGAAAGGGACAGCTTTCTTGACTAAATGATGTTTGGTCTGAGGGCTGAAAGATTAGATGATATAAGCCATCTTGGGTGGCGGCTGTTGATGAAGAGCATGCACAAAGTTCTAAGATTGGTAGAAACCTGTTTAAGGAGTCAAAAAAAAAAGCCAGTGAGTCAGGGAGATGGGAAGAAAGATACATGGAAATGATCCAAGATGGGGCTGGAGATGAGGCAGAGGCCAGGTACAAAGCCTTCCTTGTAGGAGATTTTCATGATTTTGGTCTTTATCTCAAGACCAATGGCCATTGTGGACATTTAAGGAAAGAGATAAATAGTCAAATGTACATTGAAAAAACATCACTCTGGGAAAGAAGGAAAGCTGGGACATCAGCTAGGATGTTCCTGCAGTGGTCCAAGAGACAGGTGCTTGTGCCTTGGACTAGGGTGGTAGCAATGGGTACAGACAGAGTGGACACACTAGAGAGATAGTTAGGAGGTAAAGAGGTACAATATGTACAAGAGAAATATTCCCAAGATCCAAGGAAGGCTTAATATCACTGACTAGAGCAGTGTATTGTCAACAAATCCCAATGCTTAGGGGAAGAATTAGAGATGAATTTTTTCCCTTTGTCTTCCATCATCTCCTGTCAATTCTGTGCTTGTTTTACTATTAGAAGACTGGCTGAGTGAAGGGATTCAGAATTCTACTGAAATAGTAAAATTTCTGAGAGTGAGATATGTTAGTTTAAAAATCATTTTGACAACTCTTGCCTATGTTGTGCGCTTCACTGGGCTAGGCTCTGGGGCATGAAGAAGACTGGGTCTTAGCCTGTACCTTTGACATTCTCATTGTCCAATCAAGGGGACCTGTTCACAACATCATGGTACAATACCGTGGCCATTGAGGAGTTAGTTATGAACAACGTCCTGTAGGAGACTTTGGGGGAGCCAGGGTGGTACCATGGTGGTTAAGAATGCGGGCTCTGTAATCTGGGTTTGTATTTGGAAATATCCATTTACTAGCCTCCGCCTCTAAATTGCCTAAATTACCTCATCTAACACATGGGACTAACAATAGTAGATTATTCATAAGGTGGTTCTAACAATCATATGATATGATACATGAAAATCATCAATTGCCGGGCATATAATAACTGCTTAATAAATGCAAGAAATTTAGCAATTATATTATTACAGAGGAGGAGCCGATTAGCCATCTGGATAGAGTCAGGAAAGGTTACACAGTGATGCTATGTATCAGATTTAAAGGGTGTATATAGCTGACCTTTAATAAATGCTTGCCTAAGGAATGAATATATCTTATGACAAAAAGCAATTTATTGAGCATTTATTATATTAGGCTCTATTATGATCCTTATAGAGATATTTTCTCACTTAATTCTTGTCTGACCCTAAGAAGGAAATACTATTATTAGCCCCATTTCACAGAAGACAGTCTTGAAGCCCCAAAACATCAGTTATTTGCCCAAGATTACACAGTAAATTGCCAAGCTGGGACTTCAGTCCAGACCAATCCAAAGCTTTGCTCTTAACTCCTACAAGTTCTATAATCTTCTTTACCTAAAAGCGCTGCTGAATTCAAACTAGCTTTTGTTCATTATGTGTTCACTCAATCAATGGATACTAAAAACGCATTGCTATAAAAAGTCAATAAAATATTTATAGCATTTTATCTGAACATTTTTATTTTATAAATAAATACTTACTGTAGAAAATAAATACATAGAGGAATAAAAAATAAATTACTGGTTATTCCAACTCTCATAGGTAATTACTGTACACATTTTGCTGTAAATATCTTCAGACTTTCTCCCCCAATGCATTGATGTATGAGTTGTATGTATATAAACCTATATTTTTAGATAGAAAATGAATGGGGTCACACTGCCCATGTTTTTTACTACTTTTTCATTAAGGATATGTTGTAAAACTCTGTGTGTTTGCTATGGTCGTGCTTAGTGTAGTTGATGACACGTAGTAACAACTCAGCAAATGTCAGTGACCATTGTGATTGTCATTGTCATCATCATCATCATCATCATCATCATCGTCGTCGTCTTGATAAATTGCCCTCCAGCAAGGCTGTAATAATTTGACATCCCAACAACAACAACAAATTATTCTTTTCAACATACCTCCACCAAACTTGGCTTCTGTCACTTAATATTTTTTGTGTGTGCCAATTTTGAAAATTTAAAATGGAATCATGTTGTTGTTTTATTTTGCCCTCGTTTTATCACTAATGAGATTAAACATTAGTCATTTACATATTTTCGTTTTTTGAATTTTCCTTCACATGTTATCTATCGTTATTTTCTTATTGGTGTTTCAGAACTCTTTTATATTATGATTCTTATATATTAAGTATATATTGCAAATATTTTCACCAGCTTGTGATTTGATTTTTTTATTTAGGTTTTAGCATTTTTTTTTAATAAATAAGGTAAAATTAAATAATTAAATTTATCAGTCTTTTTTTATTGTGGTTTTTCTCTTTGACATTTTACAAATAAATATTTTATTAATATCTACGTAATATAAATATGGCATTTTTGACATTTAAAAAGGGGTATCCATTCTTCAAAATTCGGGAACCATTGGTATAAGAAATAAAGTCACCTGGAGTATGGGTCTGTATTTGTGGTGTCGCTGGGAAGACATTGAAAGGCTCTCTGCTTTGGGGAGAGTTTCAGTGGCTTGTAGATGTTTAACAAGTTTCTTGCTTGTCACAGTCTGAAAATATGAGATTTTTTTCTTTTTGTTTTCATCTCCTTTTCTTGAAACCACAGAGTGTCTTGTTTTTCAGGTAATCCACTACAAAGTGCAATACATCAAAAAGGCTCATCTTCATATTAAAGTTGGGACTTCTGAGGCAGAGGGCTTAGTTACATTTTTGAAATTGTTTAGTTAATTCCATCAGAATAATAGCAATGGATCAAATATTTCCACATCTTACTCTGCATTGTTCATCATGAAGAGGAAAATATCTTCACTTTTCAAAGATGTATGTTTATATATAATACAATATAAAGTATGTAAATAGTACACGTCTTGCTCTAGACTTGAAAGAATACTGACAAATGTGCAGATGAAATTCTGGCTTATTTTATAAACTCATTTTTAAATAGTTGGCTTATTGAGTTCTGCATAAAAGGCCATTTAATGAATTGCTTTTATGGTGAAATTCATCAGTCAAAACAGAAATGCCTTTCCCTCCATCAAAGAGATATATGCTTTTACGAACATTTGAATCTCACCTTTAACTGAAAATCTTTTTTGTCTTCCAGCTTTTGTTTCTGCCCTTTTGACATCATATATGGCTACTGATGGCAATGTTCCTGTAAGTACTATTTGGAACACCTGGGACTTTAGATATTAATCACCAGTTTGATAAGCGAGTAAAAAAATAGACAAGTCGATTTTAAGTTTGGCTAGCTGTTTATTGTCCTCCATTTCATTAGCCACAATGGAATTAAATGATCCTCTTGTTAGGTTTCAAGGGTTTCTAGTGATCACCAAGCATTTGTTTAAGACTCCTAGTATTTACTTTTAAAGATCAGGAAACATAATCATGATTTTAATGTACTGTACACAAGCTATCTCTGTATTTTAAGTTAAGTATGGTACTAGGGCAACCTCTCATGCAACCTCTATGGGAAAAATTCTGTTAATTATTGTACTGAAATTGTAAGTCCCTTTAAAAATAATTTTATCACCATAAATTTGCATAAATTAGGTAAGGCAATTGAGCAAGTATATTATCTCTATTAGACGAGGAAACTTATGCAGGAAAAATTCAGTTGATACAAGTAATATGGCATATCTAATAGAAGGGGATGTAGGGTAGTGTGGGATTGTGTGGTGTGTATCTTTTGGCAAATCTAATGACCTCATGATGGGTCCATAGGGTAGACTTTTTGGAGTTGAGCCGAAAGCAAAATAGAAGTGGGGTGTTGAGAGAATATAGTATAGACTTCCTGCCAGATAGTAAACGGACAATGATTTTCTGATGAAAATTAGAAAATGGATGTCAAGGCAGGTTGTAGTAATAGTAACGGAGAAATTGAGTGAACTAGACAGCTCCTGGAAGGGACACCTTACTAAAAATCAGGGCAGCTGATTAATTCTCTGCTTGCTTTGTTAACACTTTCATATCCCAGAAATAGAGAAGGCAATGCGAGCACTTTAATTGTGATGCTAATTCTAAATGAGGAGGAAAAGCTTGCTAGTGATGAAAAATAGTGGAAACTTTGGGAGACAGGACTGCAGAAAACTAAAAATGAAAACACAAATCATAGTCAGTTATAGCCTAAGAAATTCACCATCTAAAACTTGCAGAAAAGGAAAGCGTGATCCCTTGGCATGAATGGGTGGATGGTGTTCGATAATAAAAACATGAATAATCACGATGAAGATAAAGAAGAGAAACAACTAAGAGAATAAATGTGGCCTCAGTGGGAGACTTTTCTAGAATTAGATATAAAGACATAAGTACAGGTTGTTAAAGGAGGCTCCTGTGGTCAAGGGGAAAAACAAATGGACATCACAGATCTGTAAAAGTAGGGTCAGGAAGACTGAGGTTCAGAGTACCCAAAGTTTATGATAAATTTTAAAAAGAAAAAATGCATATGATCATAAGCACATGTGTATGTGTTATATGGAACAAAGAAATGAAAAGGAAGAATTAGAATTTTGGATCTTTGAGAACAGTGATGCAGTGTTTATTTCCTACATAGCTTCACCTTTTCCACTGAAAGAACGTAGTCTTCCAACTGGAAGGAGGTCATCTTATATGCTTAAGAAGAAATAGAAATTAGGATAATAAGAGAGTACCTAAGCACTTTAAATTAATAAATTCATTGAAACATTCATTTGATGTTCACCGATTACTCTGGACTCCATCACGTATCAGCCACTGTATTAGGTAAGAACTGGAGATTTAATTGTGACTTGAAACAAGTTAAAATCTCTACATCTTAAAAAAAAATATAACCCTGGATATTGGAACAAAGATTGCAGATGTGATTACCAAAAGGCTATCATCCATATAAGAATCCATCCATCCATATTCTCAAAAGATTATCATCCATACAAAGACGTATCATCCATATAATTCCCAATCTAGAGCCGTTACTGCTGTAACATGTAACCTGATTCCCCTTGGACCTGGGCACAAGTGGATTCTGTTCTTATTGGTGGGACTTCTAGCTACTTATGGTCTTTCTCATTTCGTGAGCCATCCTCCCCTCCTAGACTCAATCAGCCCAGATCTCCTTGTGTGTCTATTTACGGGTTCCTTTTATCTCACAGCCATCAGCATCACAATGGTACTGCTTAAAGTCTCTCTTAAGCATTTCTTCCAGCTGCTTTTCAGTGGTTACCCTACTTTACCTTTCCGTTCAGAGAATTAGTTCAATTTTCTGCTGTCATTTGTTCTCTAAATAAAATGTAGCACAGGAGACCTATTTTTATGCTAGGTAGTTTCAGTAGGCTTGGCACATTTGACCTAATCAGATCCTGAATTACAATTCATTTCCACTAAACTAAGGTTTATTGAGCTGTATGTGCTGAGCACTCTGCTTGGCACTGGGGTATCGAGATGAGGAGCTTACCATGTGGTGGGGGAAGGGCAACAATTTTAGGGCACTGTTGTTGATCCTGACCTGAGAGTTATCCTTGAGGGTTGGTTTGGTAAATGATGCTAATAAAACTGCTCAAGGAAGTAGATTCTAAGCATTTGAAGTTTTATTACGTGTGTGGTAGAACAGCATTGTTCTCTTTTGTTAAGCTGAGTTGTTTGTTATCTGATAGTATTTTCTCTCCCCTGAAGGGAAACAGCAGAATTTTCAAAGCTCAAGTTTCATATAGAATTACAAGTATTAACTCACCAAGTTCTGTTGGTTTTACCTCTGAAATATTTCTCCATCTTCACAGACACACACTTGCCCTTCCCTCTGCTCACTGGGCTGTTTGCCTCTGCACCTGCCCTCTCCAATCCACTTGCCACACAACAGGCAGAGTGAATGTTCCTAAATGCAAACCTGATGATGCCACTCACCCGCTGACATCTGTGCAATGGCTTCTTATGGGCTTTCAGATAAACTTCACGCTTTCAAACATAACATACAAGGCCCTGCATGGTGTGACTTTGACACTCTGAATGTGGTTTTCCCCCCACGGTCTGTGGTCGATGCCTACTGGACCATACCTGCGTCCCTGTATCAGATTCTCTTACACTCAGGTCTTTATCTTTCAAGTCTTTGTTTTTATAGACTCATGGGGTGCCTTCCCTGACTCCCCAGTTCCGGGTAAGTGCTATAATGGGATACATCATAGCACTTATGTGCAGACCCTATTATCCTCATTCAATTCTCTATCTTCTCTGTTTGCCTGGAAGCTGTGTGACAGCCTACTTACCATGAAATCTCTGGTCCTTGGCATCAAGTAATTGTGCCATAACTGGTAGGTGAATAAACAAAAGCCATAATTTACCGAATTGTGGCTTGAAAGAAAGAATTAGCATTGCCACTCTTAGGATCTGGGTCATAGATTGCTGGGAAATCTTCAACATAATGATTAGATTTGGTACAATCCCTAAACATCTCTAAGAATCTATTTATGTAGTCCTTGATATTTATGAGGCTTTCCGTGCATCGCTGTGGTGATAACAAAATATTATACACTAAATCAGTATTGCTTAGTTTTATTTTATGATTAATTTCTCACTAAAATAAATAAATAGAGAGATAATAAATAAACAAATAAATAACTACTAGCCTATATGAATCTTAAAGGCTTGACTAAGAAATTTCTTTCATCTCAGATTTTAGTAACAATGTTTAAACTAAGAAAGGAAAACAGCCTTAATTTAAAGAAGACAGGGCTCAGAGGGAATGTGACAAGGCTTCAGAGGGAATCATGTCTTTACTGTTGTACATAATTCTTTTACCTAAAGCTTCTGAGATTTTTTGCTTTCAGGAATGGCTCTGGTGGGGAAGAAATGTCAGAATTATCTTAGATCAAAACTTTATGACAGTGTTTTCTTAAGAATTCTTTTAAATAAAATTCTTTCGTTAAATACTGCCTGAAAATAAAATGTTGAGTGAAAACTTTTTCTGAAACAGTAGTCTCTGCATGTAAATCATGGTTCCTTTGCTCAGTTTTCCTGCCAACGAGGACAAGCTCCCTGAATGCGAATGGACATTTGCTTCTGGCACTGTGGTTGGGTTATCTGCTGTTGCCTGGACTGTCGTCTGTGGGATGGTCAGTCTAACAGCAGATGGGTAATTGCTGTGTACTTCACAAGAGAGCTCTGCATTCATTACTCACAGAACATGTATTTCCTGGTCTTTGTGTGTGTACTGTGTGCAGTGAACAGCCCAGCCCAGATGATTCTGGTCCCTGTGGAAACCTGCCCTGACCTTCACTCCATCTCTGTGCTTGTGGTGTGTGTCTAAGAGATTTGGTGACATTCAGGGACGAAGTGAGGAATTTCTTTTTCAAATTTTTCATCAACTAAAAAGAACTGAAATTTTGGCAACTCGATTTTTAGGCTGCATTAGCATAACTCTATGCTGAAATGGCTGTGTCAATGCTGCATAAGCCTGACACACAGATCAAACTCAGGCGGCTGCTTAACATATTTGCTGTCCCAACTGGACTTCAAGTGCGGAAGTGCATGACAGCTGTCTGGGGAATAGATTCCTGGGTAGGGGCTTGTTAGCTACCACTGGACAACTTCTGTCCCTCTCCCCAGTCCCCCTCCTCCGCTCCATGCATTCCTATTTCTTGGGTTCCAGATTCTTAGTATTTGGAGGATATGGTTAAAACAGGATGCTGGAGAAAGCTACTGTGTTTTTTGAGGAAACAGTACTTTAGCTAGAACTAGAGGTTTATTCAACACAAGTCCATTTTAACTTCAAGGAAATACCAAAGGTCAACTCTCCAGGTGGGTACAAATTCAGTGTCAGTCAATCCCAGGAGCTTTTCTCTATGTATGTGCTGCTTTGGGGGTAAGAAAAATGTTGGAGCAACTTTTATGTTGTTTAACTCTGCTGATGTTATTCATTAGTGGAGGCATTTTTAGCTCTGAGTAATCAAGCAGTTGATGGCTTTCCAGATATTTGGTAAATCTCCACTTGTGCCAGTGACTATTAGTAAGGCATCATAGGAAATACAAATTGATATGACATAGTTAACCTTTTGGTAACTATTTATTAAATGCTCCCTATGTGTCAGGCATTGGGCTAGGTGCTAGATTTTGAAGTCATGACATGTTTAAGAACATCAATTCTGTCTTAAAGTCTTGGCCAGTTATTGAATCCAAACAGAGTTGTAGTC